ATATATATATATTTGCTGTTCTTGGATCTTTAGGATGTCAAAACGCAAGAATTTAACAATTTTTAATTATTTTGGGAAAAAACCGCGACCTGAAATTAGTGAGGTGACAGCATCTAGTACCAATGTAAGTTTTTCTGTTGTACAGAAATGTGATACTTCCGTTGAAGAAAACGTTTCTAACATAACAAAATGTGATGAATGTGAAAGTGGCCCTCAAAGTGTTACTTCCCACCCATATGACATTGGACTTTTTTTAGAAGATATTACATTATGTTCTTAAACTTAAAAAATCAAATCAGAATATAACTAAACAATGTTGTCTAAATAAAATGTCAAAATGGTCTAGCTGTCTAAATTAGGGAAATAATAGTGCTTTATTATAGAATCGAATTTCTTTTAGTAGTTTCAGAAAATTATGAACACCCCCTTGAAAAAATTCTGCGTACGCCACTGAGTAAATGATTAAAATTTCAATAACAATTGAATAACTTATTGCAGAGTTACAGTAACAAGTTCAATACGGTGTTGACCCGCCTCTAGCCAGGATACAAGCTGCCACACGGCATGGCATAGACCGATAAAGCTCCCGGATGGTCTCTTGCGGTATTTCCTGCAAAATTCGATCCAATTGTGGAACGAGGTCATAAACGTTCCGTGCCAGATGCAATCGCCTTCCCATCATATCCATGACATGCTCGATGGGAGAGAGATCTGGTGATCTGGCAGGCCAAGGAAGAGTTTGACAAGCTTGCAGACAGTTCATAGCAACACGTGCCATATGTGGTCTGGCATAGTCCTCCTGAAAAACCAGCCCAGGGCGCTGCAAAAGGAACGGTAAAGGTACTTAGGATGTCGTCGACGTACAGCTGTGCAGTAAGTGTACCTCTAAGGACGACCAAAGGGGTCCGGCTGTCAAAGGAAATGACACCCCAGACCATAATGCCTTGCTGAGGGCCGGTGTGGCGTGAAATAGTGAAGACAGGATCCCCCCTCTGCCCTGTGCGTCTCCAAACACGTCTTCGATGATCGTCAGGACACAGTTGGAAGTGGGATTCGTCGCTTAAGATTATACGTCCCCAGTCGGCATCATTCCAGCCTGATCGAGCGTCGATTTTGCGCGTCTTTGTGCGTTCTTGGTGCGTCGATTTTTTTGTTATAGAGTGTATATTAATAATAAAAGTAGTTATATTTTGATTTAAAATTTGCATTTTTAATATTTTTATAAAAGCTAAAAAGGTAGTTGATGCATAAGAAATTATAATAATATTAAGCACTGATTCCTTCCTCTTTTTTCAATTTTTTTCCTTAGCTATTAAGTTCTGCACTAACGCGAAATCGAAAGGACGATGCCGAAATAATTAGGCGAAAGGGAAGAGCTTAGAGATGTGAAGATCTTTAGTTAAAATAAATCGTTAACTTTGCAGACATAATGCTATCAATTTTAACTATACATTATAAAAGCAATTCTTAAATTGCAAACATACTATTAGATTCTTTAATTATCTTGCTTGCACTAATTAATTAACATATTTAAAGTTTCTTTTTGCTATTATAAGATTATTTAATTATCTTGTTTGCTCGAATTAATTAACATATTTACGAATCTGTGTGATGGTGTTGTTGTGGTACAAACTTCGAATAATTAAAAAGTGATTTATCACTAACAAAACAGTTGTAGTGTTTTCCTTTTGTTTAAAATGACACGTATTGTACATGTTTGAAATACCAAAAACAAAAAGGATAAACATAAAAAAAAATTCTAATTTTATCGAAGAAGTAGCTTTTGCATTTAAAATACGTGATTTCAATGAACAGATGTTTAGTTTCTCATCATTGTAGATAAAAACTTACTTAAAAACTTGTGCAAATATTTTTTTGATTTGTCGACCAGCAATAATTGTTACAATTCTCTTTTTAAATCACAACCATGATTCTCACTGGTTGCATTTTAGTGGTGCTTGTTGCAACAGCATTAGGAAATAATGCCGCGGGTAAGTGTAACGACAAAATTTTATTTGTAATTTACGATAATACTGTGATTGTTTTCTACATGTTCAAATTATACTCTTTTTTTTTAAATAACTGTCGTTGAATGGCAGACGCAATTCTTGGGTTTATGACTACTAATATTCAACTACGTAGCCTTGTAATTTTGAACCGAATCCAGAAGACAAGGGAAATCCTGGATCAAGTATTGGCGAGAAATTTGCCTTCGTGTAGGACTTTTTGATGGAACTAACCCGCATTTGCGTTACATGGAGAGGAAGACCACGAGAACTCTCACGGTTAGCCTAACGGCAAGGGGACTCTAACCCATGATCCGTCTACCACAGAGGATATTTCATGTCAGCGCTGTGGTCGGTGCAAGCCGGGAGCGGAATTCGTATCGACCAACCATCGCCGGGACTCGAACCATGTTAACCTCCTTCGAAGGCGAACGCTCTATTCCCTGATCAGTCACTGCTCAAATTATACTCTTTGTACATATGCCTCTCCAGGTTAAGCAATTTCCTCCCACTTTCCCTCTCTCCGTTACCAAGTTTTCAGTAAATTTTGCAAACATTTCAGTAAGAAGTTTAAATGTAATAAAGTGGGGAAAAAGCGAACAAAATTTTGCTGAAATTTTATCAGCAAAGAGTTTAGAAGGTATGGAGAGTGGGAAAATCACGTATCCTTGTATCTCTATTTATAAAGACTTTAAGATAATAAGTTGATCAAATTGTTTTTCTCTTTCCTCTTACATTTATTAATTGTCTCTTACATTTATTAATTATCTCTTACATTTATTAATTATCTTACATTTATTAATTATCTCTTACATTTATTGATCATCTCTTACGTGTGAAGAGAGTTTTCGAAAAAACTACAGATTGTAGTCTTAGAATCAATAAGACATAGAATCAATAAGAACAGTTAAATTTTTCTGAGTACGGCGCAACTCTTTCGTATTTTCATTAAAAAAAATATTAGCTTTTTAATTTAACGTAATATAAATGTTATTATGCATTTTTTTAAAGAATAATTTCAGGCACGGAAAAATAAACTTTCAACCAGTTTCACAGATTGGTTTGAAAACACATTGTAATTTGTAAAAACAAGTATTATAAATGTTTTTTGTTGTTGTCGTTGTTGTAAGTTTGATAACATTGCGGCTACGTGAGAAAAAACCCTCGTATCATTTCACCTGAATTTTATGTAAAATGACCTCTTGAATCTGAGTATCCTATTAACCAACTTTTTCCTGGAACAGCTCCCTTTTATTTATCACTTTAAATTTTGTTCGAAGGAGGAAAAATGTTTTGCCTTTAAACCTGTTATGCTAGGAGGTAAAAAGCTCTAAAACATGAGCAACAATGAGGGAGATTTTTGGGGGGAAAAGGATTTCCCCCTTAGTTTGTGAAGTAAATTATTACAAGTGATCGTTTTTTCTAAGACTTACTTCGCAATTCTACACATTTCAACTTGTAACCTCTCTTTTTTCTTTAATAATTGAAATATTTGAGAGTGAGCAAAAGAAGGTGCGAAGAAGATATCAGAAAATCCTCTTATAGGGGATGTTTCAAACTTTATCTCGATAGCTCTCTGACTCGTGCAAGGAGAGGGGGGGTACTATTTTAACTAGTAACGCGTGACGCACCGTTATCACATGAAGAGATGTAGTAAGTAGGAATTTGGGAGGGATTTTTCCCCTGAAATTATAAAAAAAAGAATGAAAAAATATTATTAAAACTAATCAATTTCAGGTTTTTTTAGCAGTTTAATCTAGTTTAAAAGATGTTCAAGCTTATAGCCTCTCTTTTTATTCCAAAAACATACCCAAATAATGTAAATATTCTATACACAATTTGGCTAACTTTACATACTTATTTAAAGTATGTAAATTCTATTCTTTTTCCTTTACAGATGAGAGTCAACTGGCCATGGAGAATCCTGATTTGTTCGAAGGGGACATAACCAATATTGACCCAAACGTAAGTTAACTATACTATTATTACTATTATAAAATGGGTGGATGCTATTCATTCAAAGTAGGACATTTTACCTTCAAAACTAATTCAGAGCATAAATGAGCTTAAAAGGCTGAACGTTTTGCTCGCCTCCATTTAAGAAAATTATGAACAAGTTTTGAAAAATTTTACAGACGAAATGTAAAGGAATTTTTAATAGCCGGAAGCTACGAAACAATGTAGAGAGGCGTGGTGGCTCAGGGGATAGAGAGCATTCACCTCCCAATGCGGTGAACCGATTTCGAATCCCAGTGATGGCTGGTTGATACGAATTCCGCCTCCGGCTGGCACCTACGCAAGTTCCAATGTAAAATATCCTCCTCGAGTGGTAGAGGGATCATGGGTTAGAGTTTCCTTGCCGTCAGGCTAACCGTGAGAGGCCTTCGTGGTTCTCCTTTCCATGTTACGCAAATGCGGGTTAGATCCATCAAAAAGCCCTCCACGAAAGCAAATAAGAATGAAAGATTCCTTATATCCCCTATTCAAAATTCAAGAGTTTGTGATGCCAACCCTAGGTTTCAGAAACATACAGAAGATCTTCATATATCTGATTACACGGATTTCAGCTTTTTTGTGATGTATATCGTTGAGCATGCTTAATTAATCTTCCTGTTAAAGTCAGAAAAGCCTTTACTACCCCTTTTTAATATTTAACTACAACAAAATTTTGGGGAAATGTGGTAGTTAGATTTAAAACGCAAGACACCACTTACTCGCCAGTTCTGGTCGTCTATACTGTTCTGGGGAGTGACATTTTTGCGCCCTAATAAAAAAGCAAATTACGAAGAAAATTTATGTACTAGAAAAAAATTACGATTCATAATTAATCCCATTCTATACGAATTCCCCACCAGGTCTGCGCCGACCACAGTGCTGACGTGAAATATCCTCAGTGGTAGACGGATCATGGGTTAGAGTCCCCTTGCCGTCAGGCTAACCGTGGAAGGTTCTCGTGATCTTCCTTTACAACTACCATTTAAATTATAAACATTTCTTTCTATCGGGAGAATTTCCAGCTTAAATTACGCCTTTTTCTAATAAAAATATTTTTTCTCGTTAGCATAAATGGGATTTGTGCTTTATCCATTTTCTATACACAGAATAAAATTGAAAAACAAGATTTTGGCAACATTATTCTTTTAAATTAATATTTCTTTTTGGCCGGGATATCCTGGTCGGTAGGGAGCTGGGGAAATGTCCGAGAGTTCGTTTGTTTGAACCCCACCGACTGAATACTCCCCGTGTAGTAAATGGTGACTGGTGCACGTTAAAAGTCTGTCGAATCGCAAAGTCCTCCATGTCCCCATAACAAATCAATATCTCTGGGGGTACTGCATCGATCGTTCTCTGATTCAGGTCAAAATTGCGATCTGTGGATGAATGAATGGATGTATGAATATTCCGCTCTATAAACGGGTGTGACGTTTGGGTGTGGTAGAAGTCGAATTCTTGGCCATAGATGGCGCCACTGGAAAACAAGAACAATCGCACCCCTCTGCCTAAACAGGCATAAGAAAGCAAGCAATATTTCATTTAACGTGAAAAATGTTTCCATTATGCACCGCAGCCTATGATAAATCACTAAATATGAATTTATAAATTGATTTGAATTAATAATTTGATTTGGTGACAATGTTTATAATTTGACTAAAATTTGCGATTCTTTTCTCGATGTTTAGGACAGAAATGCTCATCCCCAAAAAATAAGGCGTTGGCCAAAGGGAGAAATTCCCTACGTTATAGAAAAATCTCTTGGTAAGTATACGATTGGAATAAATAGTCTCTTTTCTTGTCTATACTTGTCGAATGAAAAGAGGAGAAATTATAATAGAGTATATACTCTCGATATCTCGAACTTCGATTTATCGAAAACCTTGTTATGTCAAAAAAGTAAATTCTTCTCAGCATTACATATCCACCTAATGTTAATTTGAATTCCTATATAAAAAAAGTTTCTTCTAGAACCATGTTATGTCGAATTTTTTTTTCGAAACAGAAAAATCACGAAATAAGTTTATTGTAGATCAATTACTTTCTAGTTAATGCTTAATTATTTTTGTCCTTAGCTTTTATAAATTAAATTATCATTGTTGTATTTAGACTTATAGTTAACGATCGTTACATACATATTTAATAGTAGTTATTCTTATGTTTCATGACTACTTTTTAGAATATATTTTTTCGACTTTTCAGAACATATTTAAGACTGAACTTGTTATGTCGAAAACTCGCTATATCGAAAATCTCTCAGCTTCCCTTAAGATATCAAGAGCATACTGTATTTTGATAATCTAAAAAAATATATCAATACAAGCATAAAAAATAGGTGCTATAAACAGTCAACTATTGTCCCATTATGGATTTATTTTTCTGCCATGCAATTGGAAAAGCGACGGAAGTGTTTCCGTGCAATAAGGTGTTTTCACACCCCTTTTTTTTTCAAGCGGACCATCCTGAATAACTATTGACCCAATAATCGAATCTTCACGTGTTAGGACTCAATCTTAATAGTTCAAGGGGGTGACCTCAATTATGCAAATAAATTAATGCAGATAATATTTTAAGCTACGAAAGAAAGCAGAAAAGCATACTTTCTCTGAATAAAGATATAATTTTTTCAACGGATTCGGATTTCTGATCCACTGATAGCCGCAATCTGAGAATTATGGTCCCCATAGTTTGGCTAGAAGAGTGCTCCAAATTGTTAATTTTACTGCTTGCGTATTTTGTCATATCTCGAGAACTTTTTAAGTGAAATAAAAAAAAATTCACTCAATTAATAGAATTAGTTTATCAATAGATAAGTCAACAAAAAAATAATTTATCGAATTTTAAAACAGTCGCATTGTTAAAATTCCATTTCTCAGGAACTATTCGACCGATTTCGCTCAATTTTTGCATTACAATGTAAAATCACATTTTCTGAAATGATTTAAAAAAAACTTAAATACTTTGCAATTTTTTCGACTACTATTGAATAAAATAATAAAAAATATTTAATATTATGGTTTGATAATAATTGTAACAATACTTTCATTCGTGAAATATCACACAATTTTAGTTTCAGTTTGCTCAATAAACTTTTTCAAAGCGTTTTTTTGCAGAAAAAACTTTTAAGAAAGATTTTTACTTTTAATTTTTTATTTAAATTCTTGATATTTAATATTAATCTACAAAATATTGTATAACAGTTGCTACTTCTGTAATGCTATTTAAAGTTTTCATTATTTAAGGTCTTTAAACTTTTAAACGTAAGAAATTGATAAAAAATTAAAATTTTAAAACAATTCATAAAAATGCATGGCAGTTGACAAATTCTTTTTTGTTCCTTCACTAATGTTTCAATGACATTTTTTAATATTTCTTGTAGAGGAACACAGAGATCTGATTCTTTCTGCTTTTGAAGATTTCAATAAGAAAACATGTCTGAAGTTTGTACCGAAAACAAACCAGAGGAATTATATCCAACTATATTCAGGAAGAGGGTAAAATATTTATACACTTTCTTTATTCAATCATCAAACCCTACAATATTTTAAATAGAAAACACGTTTTTCTTTGTATAAAGTAGGTAAACATTGTTATGCAGGAGGTAAAATTTATTGGAAAAAGTCTCAAAACGATTATAATATCCAAAAAAAGAAAAATTACCCATACGTTAACGAAAATTTCATCAACAATGTATTTAAAATCTAGCTATGTGAGTACCGAAGATTGTTACCAATTCTGGAATCCTTACAATTTGATAACAAAATGCTTTGCTAAACAATGCATATGGGTAAAACAGTCTAATTTAAAAATGGCGCTTCTAAATCTAAATCAGTGCGTACTACCGCAAGTTACTGATTTAAGAAAGTTTTATAACAATTTGACCATTGCTGAAATTCTTCCGCAAATTGCAAGTTCGCTGTACCATTGAATCAGCTGCGACGCGCTTCCAACACGTCACACGTTGAACACATTCTGTGATCGATTAAATTTTAATGAGTCTGACAGATTTTTTGTCCTTCCTTAGGTGCTACAACTCCCTCCTGTTGGACAAAATTTAAACTAATTTTTAATTGCAGAAATCGCTATCTCATGGTCCATAAATACCTAGTTTTATCAAACTTCAATAAGTTGAAGAAGTTTTGATAAAATATATTTAATTTATTCGATATTTTAACATCTGCTAAGGATAGATTAGGAGAATCATCAGTGTTCGGAGCCATCATCTGACTGCAATAAGAAAGCAAAGCAATAAGAAAATCAATGATCAACAGAGAAAGTTCTTTCCAATGTTTTTTTCTTCTTCTTCTTTTTTTGTGAGCTTTGCTCTTGAATTTTGAGCTCGACTTTTGACTCTTTAATTTTTAAAAACCTTTTTAAAAATATATTTTAAAACAATTCCTGATACTGTCGCTAAGGAGTATGTTTTTTTCGTAAAATTATTTTTTTGTACATTTTTTTTAATTATTTCAGAATAATTTGTTGTTGTTAATTTCAGATGTTTTGGACCAGTTGGTATGACCAATTGGGGTCAACAGCTCTTGTCCATTGGTCCAGGATGCTTGTACAAAGGTGTTATCATCCATGAGCTCGGACACGCAATAGGATTCTTCCATGAACACAACAGGTCGGACAGAGACAAATACATAAAAGTTCATTGGGAGAACATAAAATCGGGTGCGTTTATTCCTTTCTTTCTTCAAACTGTTAACATTTTTTAAAAACTTTATTTACTTTTCATTTGAATTTCTTTCTTATTTATTTATTCTTTTTCCGTTATTTTAGTATTTTTTTCATCTCTTGCTCTAAAACTCGGGGAACAAAATCATTTGAGCGTATAACTTTCGGAGGAGAAATATCACGTGGACAAAGCTTGTTCCCACGAAAATTCCTTCCTGCGATAGTTATGATCAATGTGAAATTTTTGATCTCCACTATATTCTCACGTAGTTATAATCCAGCCAAATCTAATCCTTGACTATCGCTTTTTTTTTTTTACCCATTGGCAAAATGGGTGTTGTTTTGGGTTTGATGGCGTGCGCAC